ACCAGCAGGCTCAGCCATCCTGTAGCTCCTGGCAGCCCCATGGAGACCAGCAGGCTCAGCCATCCTGTAGCTCCTGGCAGCCCCATGGAGACCCCAGAGCATCTCACACAGCACCAGATATCTCAGTTTAGGGCCCTGAATCCCATCCTTGCTTCCCTGGAAGGTGGGTTGTGCCCAGTGGTGGCAATGCCCTTTGGTAGCCCCCCCTTCATGAGGTGAGCTGAAGGCACCAGCACTGTGTAGGCTTTCCTGTACCTGGGAATTTTGGGCCTATTCCCAGCTGCTCTGTACAGAATGATTTATGGACACATTATTAAAACCATATTTCCAGCCTTGGAGCACGAGGGAACCACTGGGTGGTACTGGAGGCAACGTGCCCAGGGAGGAGGGGGGTGCTCCTCAGACCACCTGGCTTCTCAAGGGAGATGAACAGCAACAAAGGGGGGCAACAGGCTGCCCCAAAGCACCAGAGAGGAGATGCTGGAGCAGGTCTGTCCTCCCTCAGGAGGAGCAGATCAGCTGGGAAACATCTCTCACCTCCTCCTGCACTTGGCTCAATTCCTCGGCTGTTTGTGCCCTCCATGACTGTCAGACACCGGATTTCTGCCCAGGGAAGATGGTCACACGGGCTGGGGGGAGGGGGGCAGATGCCAAGGATGGTGGGTTGATCCCACCGTGCGCTGTGCACATTGGAATGAGCGACATTCCCGCCCCGCCGGAGAGCGGCCGGGTGAGCTCAGGCTCTGCAGGGCTCTGCTCACATGAGCTCAGCACAGTTCCCAGGGGAATACATGGAACACATTTGCAGAGCACCTGCTCTCCCCCCCCTCACACCTGGAGACCTTCTGCCTTCAGGGTTTGAAGGATCCCTGCGCTCACTCCTCACCTCGGGGACCCGGCCCTGCTCCCCTGGACCTGCCACAACGGGCCAGGTGGGTCCCTCCTGCCTCTTCATGGAATCCTGGAATGGTCTGGGTGGGAAGGGACCTTAAAGCCCATCCAGTCCCACCCCCTGCCATGGACAGGGACACCTTCCACTAGCCCAGGTTGCTCCAAGCCCTGTCCAACCTGGCCTTGGACACTTGCAGGGATGGGGAGTCCACAGCCTCTTCAGCAGACGTGTGACCTCATGGCCGTGCTGGCATGGGGGAGCATCACTGCATTTCCAACCTGGAAATCATTTGGAAAAAAACTGATTTTTTTTTTGTTTGTTTTTTAAATAGGCACATTTCTTCTTTTTTATGATGTCCACGCCAACTTCCATCGTGAGCGAAGGCCCAGCTCTTTTTGTTGTGTTTGTTTTGTGGCTCTGTGAAGACATAATTCAGCAGACCTTGGTTCATAGAATGATGGAATATGCTGAGTTGGAAAGGACCTGTCAGGATCAACTCCTGGCCCAAGGATCACTCCAGGAGATGTCAGTGTGCTCCAATGGCTGTTTGCTCCCCAGCTCTGGTGCTTTCCAGCCCACCAGAATGAATCCCACCAATGCCCTCCAGTGCAAACCCCAGAGCTCAGAGAGCTGAGGACACACCAGAAGGTCTGGCACGGCCCAGGGATGGGAGCCAGGGTGAGGACAGGGGGGCGAAGATGGATAAAGCTCATGGGATGGCTGATTTGCTGCCTTGAACTTGGTGACCTTTTCTTCCTGCAAACGTGTGTGGAAGGGCAGGAGGTGTGTGAGCACCCACCTGTCCACGGGCAGGGGGTTGGAGGGGACCTTTCCAGCCGCTCGGAGAGAGAGCGGCTCCGGCTGCCGACACCTCCTGGCAGGAGGCCTTTCAATTGCTCCATGTCTGTGTGCTGGAAAGCAAGACCTGCTGAGATGAAACCCTCTGGCCTCCTCCCCCCGTCTCCAAGGCAAACACAGACAGTTCTGTTCCTACCCCGAGAAATCCATATTTCAGCCTTGGACTCCCTTTGTGTGGGCTTTGTTTCATCCAGCGCCACGGAGCTTGGATGGCTTTTGCAGCTCATATTGTGCTTTGGATGCAGCCTCCTCTCTCCAGCCCTCTTGCTGCCTCCATAAAGAGTAACAGCGGCCGGTGTTGTGTTTTCCCTGGATCACGGGCTGCTGGAAACCGAAGGGAAACGTTGCTGGAAGAGGGAGAGGGCTGGTGGGCCGCCGCCGGATCCTTCTCCCCAGCAGAGCTGCAGCCTGGGCTGTTTGGCTTTCTCAGGCCTTCATGGTGAGCAACAAATTGTCCTATAAAAATTCTTGCCTTGAATTTTATTTTTCTAAGGAGACAGGCCCAACTTGGGACTTAAATCTCCCCCTTAAATGGATGGCAAAGTCCAAGATAGAAGCCATGGTGCTGAAATCCAGTGGGATCTTCAGGTTCTGCCTCCCTCCTTCCCTAAATCTGCATCTGAAGCCTCTTTTTCTGGCTGTGGAGGAAGAAAATCTTGCGAGGACATTTCAGCTTCTCTTGCAGGTGAGGAGGGACAGGAGCTGTTGGCCCCAGTGCCAGATTGAAGAACCATCCCCGCCAATGGAGCTCCAAATCCCACCCTCTGGCACCCCAGAGCAGGGGGCAGGATGGGCAGGGGTGGGAGCAGCATCTCTTGGCCACGTGAGTCTCTTCAGCTGCTCAGACCAGCGAAGACAAATGGCCTGGAGGAAGCATTTCCTCTGCCGAGGGCTCTCGCCCGGGAGGTTTCTGTTCACAGCCGAGGTCAGGAGTTGAAAAATGAAGAAGAAAGGAAAAGGATGGAAAGATCCATCTTCCCTTATGAAATCCCCAGGGCAGGGGGCATTTGGAAGTCATTTTTCACCGAGCTCAGAGCTGTTTCTGGCCCTTTAGCAGAGATTATTCTCTCCTCAAGCCTCACAGATTGGGACACAGGGAAGTGTTTTCCCTCCGTCCTGGCGGGTGTTGGAGGAGGAGAGTTATCCTGGGGGCAGGAGTGCACCTTCCAAGGGTAGGGCCCTTCCAGGGGTTTTGGGGTAAAGTGGAGCCAAACTCACACCGAAAATTGCTCTGTTTCTCAAAATTCAAACATTTGAAATGCACTGGGGCTCAGATGCAAAAAGAAATGAGTGGTTTGGATTAGTGCATCAATGCACAGGGATGGCTATTAAGGGGGAAAACCCTTAAAATAGGAAGGAGAATTTCAGCCTGGTTAAAGGAAATCGAAATAAAATTCCTTTCTGGAAGGAATTCAAGAAAATTATTTTCCTTCTGTGTTTCTCTCTCTTCTTCTGGCTTATAAAAACACCTTGGCTCAGATATTACACCAATTCTGCCTTTTATTAAAAAGCCCTGCTCGGGTTGTGCAGATTTCATGCTGTTACATGAAAGTAAAATTTTTATGACCAGAAGCTGAAATTAGGAAGGACCCTTTTTTTGTTGTTGTTGTCGTCTTGGGTTGGATTTTGTTGGTAGTCAGGAGGGTTTGTTTAGCTTTGCTTTTTCTAAAGCACAGCCAATTCCTCCAGGGCTGAGCACTCCAGGCTTTTTTTGGGGATGCTCATTCCAAACAGGTGCTGATGTTGGGAAGCTGAGCTCTGGACAGAGGAAGGAGGTGGGTGATGCCCTCCTTCTGCTACTCACCTTGGAGCAAACAGGGTTCCATGGCTGTTCCAGAACAGGAGGGATGTGTGGGAGAGCAAATGTGTTTCATTGCATGGGACACAGACCCTGGATGTCCAGCCTGGAACAGTGCTGTGTTGTGTTGTGTTGTGAGCAAAGTGACTGTGCAAAAGTGGGAGCTGTTCCCTCCTCTCACCCTCTATAAATCCAGATTTGATGGATCACAGCTTGGTTTGAGCCCATATTCAACACCAGCTGTTTGCTGGCTGGGTAATGCCAGCAGACTTCAGTTGCCATTTCTCACTTTAAATGTAGTACTTCTGTTTTTCCATTCATTCCACCCTCCTCTGCTAAAAAAGAAACTATGGAAGGGAAAAAAAAAAAAGTCCTAAAAGGCCATTTGGTCCTTCCTTGTTGGGTGAGTTACAGGAAGCTGAGGGGTTACTGTGTCTGAAGGTGTTAAAGAAGAGTTGCAATATTAGAAGAGTTACAGTATTGGCTTCTTTTGGGACTTTGGCAAGGCAGCTTTGCATCTCCAGGATCCATCCCTGCACCCTGTGTTGTTCTCCAGCCCTAGGGAGAGATTCAGAGACCCCTGGGTTGGGGGGAGCCATCCCACCCATCCCAGCTGTGACTGAGCACCTCCCCCTGCACAGCTCCTGCTGCAGCTCCCTGGGACATCCCGAGGGACTTCAGGGCATGGACCTCCTCTCCCTGCTCCAGAGACACCAGAGCTGGGATGGGGGATTTAGGTCAAGCCCCCTGGCCCCTCCAGCCCAAACCTCTGTGCAGGCTCCTCCTGCCCTGGGAAGATTTCCGGAGCAGCCGTGAGGATTTCCCCAGCTCTTTATCAATAACGCAGCAATAAGAAGGGGCAGCCTCTCTTTCCAAGGGCTCACAGAGCCCAGAATAATCCGAGGAGGAATTTGGCTCCCCCCAGTAGGCAGTTTACTGGTGGGCAGTGCTTTCCAGCCCCTCTGTTGGAGGGGGCTGTTCCCCCACCACCAAAGTGCGACTGAGGCTCCGTGATGGGCTGGCCCATAAATCTCTCCCCTCTAATCCTTTCCATTCTACTTTTTCCAAACTGGGGGAGGAGGGGGGATACTGGGCTGGGCTGGGCAGCCCAAAGCTTTAACCCTTTGTGCTTTGGGGGATCTTCTGCCGAGCAGAAGAGGACGGTGGGTGGAAGGAGGGCTGTTCCACGGCAGCCTTTTAGAAGCAGGTAGTTCTAGTCAGCAATTAAAGCCCCACTGACAGCTTAAAGAGCTCCTCTGGAAGTTTAATAAGTCCACCACTGGATATAAGAAATAAATCTGGCTGCATTACAATCACTTCCAACTACTTAAGCAATAAATGCAGGACTCTGCTCTCGTTCAGCCGTGACGTGGGAATGTTGCTGCGCTCCCCGCTTGGTTTCCAGGGCTGGGATGCCAGAGCAGGATCCAGCTCAGCCACTGGAGCCAAGGAGACACTGTGGAGGTCACGGGGCTGTGCTGGGGGTGGGGTGATCCAGGCCTTCAGTGTGAGGTCACTTGGAATCTGAGGCTGAAATGAAGCCCTCGTGGGCTCTGTGGAGGTGAAGAAACTCCCGTATGGGGACAAGCTGAGAGAGATGGGGCTGTTCAGCCTGGAGAAGAGAAGGTTGTGTGGAGACCTCACAGCACCTTCCAGGATCTGAAAGGGCCTACATGGAAGCCAGAGAGGGACCCTTCAGCAGGAACTGTGGTGACAGGACAAGGGGAAATGGGTTCCCACTGAAAGAGGGAAAATTTAGGTTGGACATATGGGAAAAATCCTTCCCTGTGAGGGTGGGGAGGCCCTGGCACAGGCTGCCCAGAGAAGCTGTGGCTGCCCCATCCCTGCAAGTGTCCAAGGTTGGACGGGGCTTGGAGCAACCTGGGCTAGTGGAGGGTGTCCCTGCCCATGGCAGGGGCTGGAACTTTAAGGTCCCTTCCAACCCAAACTATTCCATGATTCCATGATTCTAAACCACCTGAGCCAAATGCCAAAATCTCCTTTTGCCCCGTGGCTGGTGATGTGGAAGAGGTGTTGCATCCCAGCTACCTGACCTTGGGATATGGAAGTGATGGGGGAGGAGGTCAAGAACAAGAGGCAGACGGTGATTTTGGTCCTCAGGTGTTTGCACAAACCCCTCTGCCAAGGCCAGGTTCTGACAGGCTGCACTGGCACTGCAGTGTTGTGACACCAGCTCTTGGCCATAGGTGGAGTTTTATCCTCCCAGTGCCCACTGGAGGTCGGGAACAAGTCCATCAGTGGCCACCTGAAGTTCCCATCTGGGAGCAGACCTTGTGTGTCAGGGGGGCTCCCAACCCCTCCCAACCCTGTCACATTAAATATTCCCTGTATGGGATATCTCCATGGCAGGGAGAGACAGGAGCAAGCCCAGGGCAGGATTTGGGCAGTGAGGGGCTTCTGCAAGCACCCCATCATGCCTTCCTTCCCCGATCTTCATCTTTGAGGCGTTGCAGTGCTTGAAAAATGAACTTTGTGTCCCTGTTCTCCTCAAAGTTCCCGGGCTTTTTAAGCCCAGCTTTCTAAACCGTGCTGAAAGGTCCCGCACCGGGCAGGGGCTGCCTTTGAAAGGGAACAAATTGTCGGTTTATGGCTCCCAGGTGAGGGGGGGGGCTGTAAATCTCCCACCATTTAAAGCATCTGGTCTTTTCCAGGCTGGCTACCAGTGTTCCAAGGAGGAGAGGGAGGAATAACCAACATTTCCGGCCATCGGCTGCTCGCACGGCCCCCGGGAGCTCCTCAGGAAGGTTTTTAAAGGAATATTTATGGATGATCCCGGTGAATCAGGCCCTAAAAGGTACCAAGAAAGGGCTGTTGTTCATTAACATTTGGGAGCTGTGCATTGAGGATTTCCCTGCGGAGGGGCAAAAGAAATGGAGTGAAAGTGAAGGGGCTTTCGAGTTAATCCGGTTCTTTTTGAACGTTATTGTTGTTGGTAAAAAAATCAGAACCTTATTTTTGATGAAGGAAAAAAAAAATTAGAAGTACATTTTTGGGATGGTTTTCCTCCAAAGGTTCTTTCTAAAATTCCACACTGGGTTCCTCAGCAAATATCTTTGTTCTTACTGATATATGGATCCGTGGTTGAGTTTTTGGTTTTTGTTCACCCACGTCTCCATGCTAAAACAACATCTCTACTCCAGCTAATAACCTGGGAATAACTTCAATTTGGTGGGTTTTCCTAAAGAAAACTTCCTTATCACTGCAATTTATTTTCAGTTTGATAAAAATGGCCTTAAAGCTTTGCAGCTTTGTGCTCACAGTGTTCTCCAAGTTAAACTTCCCCATCTCAGTAAATAATAGATTGTTCCCCGAGCCTTGTAAAATCACTTTGTATTAATCACTTTGCTTTTATGAACAGGAAAACTGAGCACAGGAGGAGGGATGGTTTGGTGGAAGAGCATCCTGGGGTTTCCACTTTCAGAGCCTTTTCCTGAGACATGAGTCACTTAAAAGCCTCCTGTAGACTCACTGATAAGAGAAACTCCCTCGAGGTGAGCCTGGGTCTGTCCTTCAGCGTGTTTATGTAAAGTACCTTTGGAACAGATTTATTCCATGGAATGTGTGGAGGAGATAAGGCCACACGTGCCCTCTGAGCCTGTTTCTTTCAGTGCAATGTCTTGAGGTTTATCTGAGTGTGCCTGAGATCAGAGTTTGCCAGAGAAAGAGAAAATCAGGGTGTTCTGTCAAAACTACAGGTTTGACATAATCCCCAAGGTTTGAACTTCTTGGGAGTTTTGATGCCCATCCTGCTCCCAGAAGGGACCACCAGGCTCCTGCAGCTCCCGGTACCTCCCAGTGGATGATGGTGTTTTCCCAGTGTCTCCTGGCCGTGGTGGTGGGTGGATAGGCTTAAGCTGATGATGGATGGGGCCCACGGGGTCCCTGGGGCTGTTGGATCCAGCACTGCAACGACAGGGTCAACAGTGGAGACACTTTATTGATGTCAGTGAATGTCCACTGTGCTCAGCTGCCATCCTGAGGGCCCAGCTGTAGGATCAGTGGACAGAGTCCCCAAAACTGTTGGATTTGGGTCTCCTTCCATAAGCACGGGGTGGTTCCAGAGTAACTGAGGCTGTGCATGGGGCAGTTTGATGTGCAGGGCCGTGTGGGTGCAGAGGTGTCCATGAGGGCTCCTGGGTAATGGTTTCCTGGGAGAAGCACCTCTTTTTCAGAGGTGATGTGCCTAATAGATGGAAAACACCAGGGACAACCAGGTGGTAAAAAGAAAGTGCTTCCTTCTTATCCTAAGCCATCCCCCCTTCTCAGCACACATCTGGTGTTTCTACACCAGAAGAACCTTCTCACACATGTTCATCCATGAGCAAAATCCTCCAGGGAGAAACTGCTCTGACTCAGCTCCTCTGCTCAGCTCTGTGTGCACTTGGCACGAGGCAGGAGGTGAAGAGCTCAGCCCAGGCAGAGCAAACCTGTCCCCCAAGGCCTGAGATGCAGCAGATCCTCCAAGGCCGGAGAGGCAGCAGGCGGGAAGATGCCGATTTTTTGCCTGATGAGCAGATCTCCAGCTGTTCTGCCCCATCCTCCTGGGATGGGGACAAAGGAGGGGGTGCAAAGCCACAATGACTTCACCAGCAGCACAAGGATAGGATGGTGTCCAGCTGATCCTTGCGAAACACCCTCTGGAGCGTGCTGGCTGTGGGAACTGTGCCCAGCTCCGTGTCCTGCCATCGCGGCGTCCTCGCCTGAGTCACTTCTAACCCAATACTGAGTTGTTACCACTGGCATCAAAAAAGGGGTTTTTTTGCTTTTCAGTGACTTCACAAATCCAAGACGCTGCCAACTATCCCCCCTTCACAGCATTTAAAACATCAACACTTCCCTCCCAAATGAAAAGGGAGTCAAAGGTCCTGTGCTTCCCTGTGCCCCTTGCTCTCCCACAGCAGGGATGTGGGGATTGGCCTTTTAGGAAGCCTCCTCTGCTCCACTGAACTGTATTTGCAATTTAGGACTGTGGCCTTGTGATCCTGCACCCAGTGAGTGCAGTGGGACGTGGGGGCAGGTCTGGTGGGGAGCCTGGTTTAGCTGTTCCCTGGGTTTGTCACAACAGCTCAGGAGCTACTGGGGGACAGTTGAGTTTGGTCCATGGCCACAGCACCAAGCCTGCCAGAGTTCAAGAAGCATTTGGACAGTACTCTGGGAGCCATGGTGTGACCCTTGGGATGGTCCTGTGCAAGGTCAGGAGTTGGACTCAGTGATCCAACTCAGCATACTCTGTGATCCTGCAATTCCCAGTCTGCCCAGTCCAGAGGTGTTCACGCTCGGAGTAGGTGCTCCAACTCCTCCCTCATGACTCCCACGTGTTTCCAACATCCCTGTTAAAAGAAACCTCCATCTCTCCCCCTCGTTTCCTTTTCTCTGAGACTCTGCTTGGAGCTTGCACAAGCCTTGCCCAACAACAACCCTGGCACCCGTCCCGGCGTGGCCGTCGTGACTCCTGCGCCGGGAGGGCAAAGGCTGTGCTCGTGCTAGTTTTGGGGCAGATTTCGCTCACCTCTGGCACCTCTCCCTCCTCATTGCTCCCAAATTTCCAGGGTTCCTCTCTCTCTCCAGCTTTCCCTCCTTCTGGGCTCACCTCTGCCTCTCGGAGGCCTCGCTCCCGGGAAGCCGCAGCGAAACGTGGCACAGACAAAGCCAGAAAACCACCAGGGAGTTCAGGGATTTTTCCTCCCTTGCTTTGCTTCCTTTGGGAGGGCATTAAAATGCAGCAGAGGATGAGACCTGGGTCCTGCTCTGTTTGTGGAGGATTCTTCCTCTGTTGTGGAGGATTTTTGTGGAGGATTTTTTGCAAAAAAGGGTTCTGAGAATTCTTTTTTACGAAGGAAAACACAGAGACAACGGCCACAGGGGCTGGAGGGCTCAGCCTGGGCTCCTTGCTCTGGGAACCAGCCCTTAGGTCAGTGGTGGATAATCAAAATTGGGGAGGAAACCAAGGGTCTGGTGCCCAGCTGGTGCAAATTAGTCAAATTGTTAAGATTTTAATGAGTTTGACAACCAAAATCCCCTGTGCTGGTAATTCCCTTGCATGCTCCTGGGGAGAGGCATTGTAAGAAGAAGAAGGGCAAGTTGTTCCTCTTGGAAATCCTTTCACCGTCTTTATGCAGAGTGGAAGGATATCAGGGAAGTTGAGCTCTGGATGGTCTCTGTGGGTTGGAGGAACTTTGAGACAAGGATCTGGCTTGGCTCTGTGGTGGTATTAGGGAGTAGGATTATCTCCCTATCCAAGTAGGGTAAATCAGGAGGAAAATGTACTGAAGTGGTGGGAATGAGCCATCAGCCCAGCAGAACAGCCTGTGCCGTGGGGAAACAGCAGCAGGAGAGGTCCTGGGGGGCTGGAAAGGGAGATTTGACCCTGCTCCGAAGCTCTGGCCAGCCTGGGAATGCACTGTCCTATTATTCTGGGATTCTGTGACCCTGCAGGTTTGCACGAGCTCCAGGAGCAACCCAGTGGGGCAGCTGGAGCCTCCTGGCATGGGGGAATCCCTGCTGGCTGTGCCCTGCCCAGGACAAGGGACATCATTTGGGGTCAGCTCTGGTAAGTCACAAAACCCCCGGGGCTGGGACCCCAGCTCCAGTTCAAGACACGGGGACCCCCGTCAACAATGATGTGTTAAATCAGCAGAAAAACTGCTTTCCTCTCTCTTTGGATTCCTTGTCCTGCTTGCAGGAATCAGGGACCCTTCTCTCCACTGGGGAGCCAGAAAGCTCCCCAGTCTCGGCCAGCCTTTTGTCTTGGTACAGCCCTGGCCTTTGTGCTCTGTATTAATTTAAGATGCTGTGAAGTGAGAGCTGTGGGGGTGGGAGATGCTGTCTAAAACTTGTTCAGAGCCTTTGCTGGGTAAATCCCCGTGGAATTTCATTTAAACGAGCTGACACCAGTATGAATCATGCCAGCATTACCCGCTCTCCAGCACTTCCTACCGACTGCCTGCAGGGCTCTTGCTTTTTCAAGTGAAGACTAAAAGCATCTAAAACTGTTTAAGACCCAAAAGTCTTAAAATAATAGGTTGGGTTTTGGGTTTTTTTTTCGTTTTCACTGTGGAAGAAACAACATCTGCTATAAAAATCTGCTGGCCAGGGGCAGTGGGAGCGGATACCACTTATCAGGGGTTGGAAAGTGCCTCAGCCCCAGGCCTCATGATCCCAAAGTGGTGTCTCATCTGTCTGCAAGCTGGACAGATTAGATGTACACAGAGAGGATGGAGAAGTAGGGATAAAAGAAAGGACATGGGGAATTCGGTGGAAGGAGGAAGGAAATGAAAGCAAGACTTCCAGGAAAGGGAAGGAGACAACACTGTATTTATAAATACGTACCTGGGCTTAAGTGAAGGCTCCTAAAAGCTGCTGGGACACAGTCAGGCTGCTTTGGAATAAAATCCACGAGGTAGAGTGTCTGTTCCCAGGATTTAACTGAAGAGTGACATCTCTTCAGAGGCAGGAAAGTGGTCAGGAGTAAGCATGAAACATGTAAGATTGCAGAATTCAAAAGGATAAACATTATTTGATACCTTATTTATAGGGCACCACAGGGGAAAGGTAAAGGTTTCAGAAAAGAAAGAAGCACTTTAATTTCATCTGGAGATTTTCCAACAATAAAATCTAATCCATCATTCTCCGTGTGTGACTGCTCTTAATGAAAATTTAGAGGCTGTGAGTGAAATTTAGAATTCCCAGGGGATACTATTAGGAAGATGTCTAGCAGCTATGCAAAACCTGTTAGATCAGAGCCCTGCCAAGGGCCGGGAAGAGTGGAGTGTGAAAGGACAGCTTTTAATTCCATGTGCCGAGGCTCTGCAGGGCCCAGCCTTCCTCTCCTGGGTGGCAGCGGCACTCCTGGGATGGCTCCCACCAGGATCAGCCCACTGGGGGATTTCAAAGAGACAAGACTTGGCCCATTTACATTTATTTTTCCCCCAAAGATCCTCCATGGTGACGAGAGTGGTTGATCTCCTCTCCTCTCCCCTCCTCTCCAGGTTTCTTGCCCAAATTTAGTGATCACAGTTAGGAGCTTTCCAAAAAGCAGAGAGTGAACCTATTTCATCAGAGAATCATTGAATGATTGGGTTGGAAAGGACTTTAAAGATCATCCTGTTCCATGGGCAGGGACACCTTCCACCAGACCAGGTTCAAACTTTGGACACCTCAGCCCATCTTGGAGCTGCACAGAGCCACAAAGTGCCTCTCAGCCTGACCCCAAGGTAAGGTTGACCATCCCTAATCATTCCCAATCCTCTGCACTTTATTTTTAATCCAAGCAGATCACCAGACTGTTTCCAATACTTTTTAATGGTCAAAAAAGGGGCTTCGATTATAAAGACAATAATGTTAAATTATTGAAGGGCCTGGATGTACATCATGAATCAGTTTAATACCAAAGTCACTGCCAATTATTCAACTGATTCAAAAGGAGACTCCATCACAAAATGTTAAATCACAGGATAAATCTGTCCCAGGAAGGGCTTTAGTAATCAAAATTCTCTCAAAGCAGAAAAGGCTTTTTCTAAAAGCAGGGGGGGGAAAAAAGGTTACAGCTTCAGCCAGACATTATATAGTAATGCCAGATGTTAAACAGTTGACTTGAATTATTGGCAACTATCAAATGCACGATCCTAATACTACTGGTTGCAGAGCTATGCCACCAAGTTTGTAATCTGTGGAATGGGCTTAAATATTCCTTTAATTTTCTGCCTATGGATAAGAGGCAATTTGGATCAGCTTCCGCAGAATAATAACCTCCTAATTCTCAGCAGATGAGCCCCAGCCTCGTGCAACATCAAAAAACCAAGACCCCGTGGAATGTGTGACCTTTCATGGCAGATGATTTCCAATCATAGGACTCCGTTGGATCTGAGTAATTAAGGACAAGACAGGCCTGAAAGTGCTCTGCCTGCAGACACAGGAGGAGCCTACAGAGTCCCCTGTTCCCAAAAGCAGGTAAAAAACATCCAAAAAAAAAGGGTTCAGAGGTTTGCACATCGGTCTTTTTTACCCCAGAATTCACCTTTCTAAAATTTTTCCATGAATCCCTGTGCTGGAGAACCCCAATAGCCCGAGATCACTGGGAGCAGGTGCTGTCTGCCCGTGTGGGTTCTCAATTCCTTGGGTGCCTCTGCCTTTTTCCTTCTCCTTCCCACGTCACCCATCCAACGTCACCCACTGTGTCCTTTTGTCCAGCAGGATTTGGGGGGCAGGACTGGCACCTATTTATTTGTGCAGCCCTCAGCCTGGGGGGTGTAATCCTTTGGAATTCCAGCCAGGTGTCCTGCAACAACCCTCCTCTGTGGGGTCAGTGACTGCTGCCATCTCTGTGGCTAAAAAATGGGATCTGGGCACCTCCTGCTCAGGCCAGGATTGGTGGGAATGGCCTTGTCCCCCAGCAGTTCAGGCATGGATTTTTCCCACCAGCCTGGCAGCATCACCACGAGGTTGGGCACCTCCTGCATCCAGGATGAGATTTGCTCTCTCTCCATGCTCAGCTTGGGATGTGTTAGAAGTAACATATGTAGTGACAGGATAAGGGGGAATGGGCTCAAAGTGACAGAGAGGAGGTTTAGATGGGATATTGGGAAGGAATCCTTCCCTGTGAGGGTGGGGAGGCCCTGGCACAGGTTGCCCAGAGAAGCTGTGGCTGCCCCATCCCTCCAAGTGTCCCAGGCCAGGTTGGACAGGGCTTGGAGCAACCTGGGCTAGTGGGAGGTGTCACTGCCCGTGGCAGGGGATGAGACTGGATGAGCTTTAAGGTCCTTTCCAACCCATGTGATTCCATGATTCTATAAATGCAGCTCCCCAGAGGTGTGAGGACAATCCCAGCCTGACCCGCCCCCTGCAGACTGTAACAGAATGTCCTCCAAGCCTGGGCTGAGGCTGAAGTAACAAAACTTGGCTGTTCAGACGAGCCAAACCCCACATTTGCTTTTCTTTTGATTGTTTTCCTTCCCCTTTCCTCGACGCAGGGCTGTGAGATCTGAGAGCACGGGGGTTGTTCCTGCCTCGGCTCCGGCGGGAACGTCCTCGCTCCGAGGCTGGAAGGTGGGTGAAGAAAGGGTCAAAACACATCCCCCCCAACTGCAGGAGGAGAAGAATGTTGGCAGAGCAAACCTTGCCACAGGAATAAAAGGTTGTCCTGCCTGTTCATATTACTCCACGTGGGGTGAGTAAAACTGTCGGTCGGAGTGAAGCGTCTGATACACAAAAGGGAATAAAAACTCGTTAAAGGGCTGAAAGAAAACCCTGTTAAAATACCGAATATACAATGGAGGAGACTTGATCACCCTCGTGCTCGAGAGGAGTGTCAGGCTTTGAAGGAATCTGATTTTTTTTCCCCCTGAAAGCAGCGGAAATGCGCTCTGTGGGGAGCCAGGTGGGATGAGGGGCAGGTAGAGTGTCAAAGAGCACTGATAATATTTCAGGGCCACGCTCGGAGCCTGAAATACGAAGGGGATTTATTCAGCTTTCTGTGGGGAGGGGAGTGATAGCAGATTTTTGAAGGAATTCCAACGTGGTTCATACTCGTCTGGTTCTTAAATCCAGAGCCCTCGGCCTCTGCTGTGCCGGGATAGGAGCATCTCCACTGCTCCCCACAGCCCAAAGGGAATCAGCACTGGTGGCTCCTCGGGGTGCTCCTGCCCTGGCCTGGCTCCTGTCCCCCTGAAAACCCCAAAAAAAAGAGCTTTTTAGAGGGCCTGAACTACCCTGAGAACCCTCTTTCTCACAGCATCCTGATTCTGCTTTATGTGGTCTTGGGGAAGGGAAGAAATTGCAAAGGAAAAGAGTAAAGGAACCACCTCAGTCCTCTTAGTGCTGGAATGATGGAGCCTGGTTTCCAATGGATTTGTGCCTCAGGGCTGATGGACCTTTAAACCAAACTGAACTGTGGCTGTGGCAGGATTTCACCCCTTTTTACACACCAGAAAAGTGGTGGGGAAAAAGACATGATTAATACCTCACCCAGAGCAATTCTTGCCTGGTCAGCCACCCAGAGTCTTCTTTTTGGGTGTTTTCCCCTGTGTGGACTTTCTAGTATCTCATAGGTATGAAAGCTACCAAGACTTTTCCATGGTTTGGGAATTTTTGTCCCTTTTCTTCCTGGATTTGAAGCTTTCTGGTTGTGGTTTCTCTCTCACACAAACACAAATCTTTTATCACAACCTTTATAGGGATGTGTTAACTTTAGGATTTCTACCTGTTGTCCATTTGCTTGAACTTGGCACCGGAATTCAGTAATTCCATGGGGATGGGGCTGTCAGGGGAACGTTCCCTCATCCATGGGATATTACCACAGAATATTGCCTCACAAAATCAGGGTTCAAGGAAAACCCTGTTGCTAATTTAGATGGCAAAAACCACTAATGCAGGGCCTGAGCTTAACCCATTTTCCCTGCTCTGCTACCATTTTCCTCCTGCACAGGGAGGTGAGTTTTTGTCTCAACCCCTCCTCCTCAATCCGGCTTTTTTTGGACAGCAAGGCTGATTTCCTCCCATCTCAGCAACACCAGGTACAAACAGGGCCCGTCATTCCCTCACAGGCACATTATAATCACCTAAGTCCTGTTTCCTTCTGAAACCTGAGCAGAGCTGGTTCCACAAAGCCCATTGCAATGCACCGAGGGGCTCTTCAAAGGTGGAAAAGGGGGAAGCCTGTCCTCAGCTTCCCATGGAAAGTCTGTCCATGAACGGAGGCAACGAATCTGCAGAGACGCTGAGGCAAGCGAGGAAACACCACAGCCCTTTTCCAAAAGCTCAGTTACATGAATCTCTTTTACATTTGCAGCTCTGAACATCGTTTTTGGGGCCAAACGTGCCCAGGAGCCACGACGTGTGGGACTGCAGGTTTCAATCCTCAGAGCCTTTTCCAGTCAACTGATCCATCCCAAACCTTTCAGCAGGTACAAACAGGCCTTTGCCTTCCAGCAGGATGAAGCAGCAGTAAATATAAATGGGACATGGAAAGCGTTTGGAACAGACGTTTTAATGGTCTGTTCGCTGTTGCGGTCGGAGGGAAATTCCCTTCGAGCTCAGGAGCAGGTGGGGAGAAAGCCACTCCTCTGCCCCTCATCTGATCATTCCCAGGGAGCAGAAGTCTTCTGTGCCTCCAGTTAATGCCCCAGCCTGGTCCTGAGTGCTCCTGGAAGCACAGATGTGGGAATTACCTGTAAAATAAACCAAGAGCAGGGCCAGGCCCAGTGGAGAACAGCCTGAAGCTTTAGTGACACCTGGAATTGTGTGTTCCCTCCTTAACGTTCCACCTCCCAGCCTGCAGCTAATTATTGTCTATATTCCACTTGATTTTGAGGTGGCCAGAGGCAAGAACATGGCAGTTTTTTGCTGAGGGGATGGGAAAGGTGTTGTTCTCCTGCTGAAACAGGAGCAGAAGGATTTTTTTTGCCTTTCCAGGTGTGTTTTGAGATGTTTCTGATGCTTCCCTGTGAGGGTGGGGAGGCCCTGGCACAGGTTGCCCAGAGAAGCTGTGGCTGCCCCATCCCTGCAAGCATCCAAGGCCAGGTTGGACGGGGCTTGGAGCAACCTGGGCTGGTGGAAGGTGTCCCTGCTCATGGCAGGGGGTGGGATTGAGATGGGCTTTAAGATCCCTCCCAACCCAAACCATTCCATGATTCGATGATTCCGTTATGTCAGTCTGGGACCTTGAGCTTGGCTATGTCTGGGCACAAACCCCACCATGGCAGAGCAGACCGAGCTCAGGCGACGTGGAATTCAACCAACATATTTTACACCCACACCACTAAAAATAAGACGCCGACACCAACTCTTCATCTGGGAAGAGGAACCACCGGTGTTGCTGCGTCTTGGATGAGGCTCAGCACTCAAGCCCTGACCATATTTAGCCATAAGATCATCTCACAGGACTTCACAGAATCATGGGATCACAGACTGGTTTGGGTTGGGAGGGACCTTAAAGCTCGTCCAGCTCCAACCCCCTGCCATGGGCAGGAAACCAGGAATTCTGCAGGAGAGCGGAGCTTTAGAGAAAATTATTCTGGCCCAGCGCCAGCTCTGCCTTTTATTATTTTCCCCTGTTATCTCCAGACTTCATTTCACCCCCTAAATTGCTGCGTTGAGTTCCCCAAGGTTTCTAAAACGCTGCCATGCTACGGAGGGGGCTACAGGGAGGAAATTCTGTCTCCCCAAAATGCCCCACACAGCTGAAATCAGGCCACCTATTTAGGTGTCAGGTTCAGGTTTTGTCATTGTAAGCACAGAAACTTGAAACATTTTGCCCAAATGTGTTGAAAGCCACGAAGACATTAAAGATTATTCATGGAATAAATATTCATTTGCAGGAAGAGGGTGGTTTTTTTCATGCATGAATATTTCAGGCAATGTGTGCAGGCGCTTCCAGAAAAAGGTGATCATATTCTGAGTGCTGTTTGACTAGTTCCTAATACTAAAGATATCAAGGATTAAAGATACCAGGATACCTTTTTTTTAAGATTTAATCATGGAATAGAATCGTGGACTGGTTTGGAAGAGACCTTGAAGCTCATCCAGTTCCAACCTGCCGTGTGCAGTTTCTGATCAAGTTAAAATCCTTCCTAGATTTTCCTTACCTAATTATTATTACTGAAAAACTCCCTGAGAGTCTCTGTTCAAACTTTCCCTCCCAGTGCTGCAACACCGTCGCTCTGCTGATCGTTTTTAACCACAAACACGTTGCACTTGTCGCCCTGAACACCAGAAAAAAATGTCCTTATTTTATTCCCAACTCCCCTGGCGGCTTTTTCCCCGCGCGAACGCCGTTCCCTGGGCCAGCAGCACACCAAGAGATGCGGCTTCGCATCTTCAGCTTTCCCGGGTTCAGAATTCCAAGGTTTTTTGGAGTCCTGTGTGGAGCTCTGGTACCATCTAGTGTTACTGGGGAAGCCTCGGCTGCTGGATGTGGCTTTTCCTCGCTGATGTCGAGCTGGGCTCGCAGGAGAAGTCACCTGTCGCGACAGGAGGTGGCGATTAGGAGTGACAATACGCAGTCACAGCGTGTCCTCCGCCACCAGCTGTGGCTTGGAGTGAGCAGATACAGCAGGACTGGAAGAGAAGCAACTCTGACCTCTGGGGAGGTGCCTGGGCCCACACAGGTGTGTGTGTGCGGGTGTCACCTGAGAGGCCGGGGCCACCGTGATGCCCCCGAACAGGGCGTGCGAGATGCTTCACCACCTCCCTCGTGCCCTCTGGCGGCGCCTCACGCACCAAGAAAGACCCGCAGGGCGCTGCACAGACGCGTAGGGCGAGGGATTTATTTAAACAGTTTATTTAAACGGGTTATTTAAAGAGGTTTATTTTAAAACCCCCCCCAAAAAGAATTGCCCCCAGCAAAGATGGCGGCGGCCCCGCCCCGCCATCTTTGGTGAGGGGAGAAGTGACGCGCAGGCGTCGCCCCCGCCCCGGAAGTGCTCGGGCCTTCAAAGAGTGGCGGGCTCGGGGCCGGGGCCGGGCTCGGACGGTGAGGGAGAAACGGGGGAAAACGGAGAGGTCGGGGGAGGAAAACGGGAACTGCGGGGCTGGACACGGCGGGAGGGGGCTGCGAGGGGAGCGGGAGCGGGTTTGGGGCGG